CTGGTAAGTGCACATGTGTCCGACAATAGATGCGCGCTGAACACAAACAAGTAGCTTGACTCCGGAGAACGTTCCGCCAAACTTCTTCATCCGGTGCGCAATCCGATGCATGTTTGCAATATGTTCATAAACGAAGCGCCGGATGTTCAGATTATCGGGTAGGGTTTCGTAGGATCCGTCGGGTTGCTCGTATCGGGTAAGCGGACCCTTGACAGGGCAATCGTCGATGTACGGATCGGTGACGTGGGGAATTTCGTCTCGCATAATGAAGGTGAGGTCGCCGTGCTGAATCTGGACGGAGTTGGTGAAGCCCATAGGAATGACGGTGAGACGCTTGGCTCCGAGAGGCGTCTGGAATGTTGTGAGATCCCGCGAGCTTTCCGCTAGCTTCCGTTGGTCGAATCCGACAAACAAGTCGTAGATGCCGTAGCACGACCAGCCTCCGAAGGTTTCCGCATAAGTTTCGACCCGAGGCGGAATAGAGGCGTCCTTGATAGTGGCAGCGTTGAGAGGCTGAAGATCGTGGACCAGGCGGAGAGACTTTCCATCCTTCTTGAGAACGCAGAACCAGCGGGACCGGTACGAAGAACTGGACTCCTCGTAGACTCCGGACTTGATCTTGTCTCGGATGACGCGGACGACCTCGTCGTAGATGCCCGGAGGAATGGGAATGTTTCGGAGTGCCCAGGGAACGTGCTCGATCGTCGGCATCACTACAGGGTCAAACCATTCGTCAGAGAACTTGCCTCGTTCATCCTCGGACCATGCGAAAGCGTCCTCGTCCGTCCGGATGAACCAGTGCGCGAGTTTGATTTCCTCGGGAGAAAGCCAGTTGTCCGGGTCGACGGCTTGTTTGTCAGCGCGTTCCTGAGTGTACCGGAGTCCCGGAGTGAAGTCGGGTGGTTGAGTAGGAAGCGGGAGAAGGTCGGCTAAGATGTCGGGAGGTTCGCGTCGAACAATCCGATACTGTTCGGGGAGGGTAGTGGAGACAGGTACTGTGCGATTGGCGACCTTCCGGTAGGGCTTCTTTCCGTATGTTGGCATCCGGGCAGTCGCTGCGAAGACTTCGGCACTCGGGCCTGGAGCGGAATTATCGGACGATGCGGGCGGAGCGTCAGTGTCGGTATGGATAAACCAGGATGTAAAGGTAGAGTAGGAAGTAGTGGTGAAAAGGGGAATATCCAAATACGAAGCACTCCGAGTAATGCCATCTTCGATGATATCAACAAGACCTGAATAGATCCGTCGCTCATCCGGCAATTCGTCATACGCGCAAGAAGAATGAGTATTAGGTACGGGCGGAGGGGCACAAGTATACACCGGAGCCATCGGGTCGAGACCAGAATCACGTGGAGCATCATATGTACTTTTTCGGTTCATGGAAAGGGGGACAGACAGAAGAGGAAGCGATGGATCGGACACTGAAGGGGGTGTATGATATAAAAGTGTTTTCGGATAAGTAATGCAGCGGACCGGAACCGAGGAAGGAGCGGAATCGGGTAATGATATCATAAGAGAGGAATAGGACGGGGGTATAAAAGACTCGTCTCGCCACAGGGGTTCCTCGACGGTATCTAAAAATGCTCTGTAGGTTCTCGAGAGCGGTGGACCCTTTTGAAAGTAGGGATGAGGAAACGACGGCTCGAGTTCGGATCGTGTATGGTCAAGTCCTGGTGACCGTCGGGGTAGTCGCGGGTGACAGCGGAGGTGAGACAGAAGAAGGGGCGTCCAAGGAGTACCTCGTAAGGCGCATCGTTCACGATCTGAGCTTGGACGTAGAGATCGACGGGTCCGAGAGACATCTTTACATTGTGCGCGAGTCCGATGGTCTGGTTCGATGATAGGTTCGCGGACTCCATGGTGATGAACTTGTCGATGTCGATGAGCAGCCCGAGATTGTCGAAGACGTCGCGGCGCATGGCGATGATCTGCGATCCGGTGTCCAGGATGCATTCGACCTCGTACCGATCGTTGAAGATAGGCCGGATGATCCGGAGTGACTGGGTCGGAGCTGCGACAATGCATTCCTTGTTCGGATCCCGGGTGGCGGACATCAGAACCTCCACGACGTCTTCGGGGTCGTCGTAGCACGCTGCCATGTTGACGGACGCGTAGTTAGTCTCCGTAGAGACCCGCTTCGACGAAATGAGATCCCGAAGTCCTTTTCGGGCATCAAACGAGAGTGCGAAAAGTTCCCGTTGAGTGATAGTGAGCGTGGTGTTAAGGGCGCGTTCCAGGACATCCGAGGCCACCTTCGGATTCTCGATGTTCGACTGGACCCGATAGTTCGGACGGTACGTCGTGCGACCGGTCTCAATGGCTTCAGCTAGCTGAGAACGGGCCGAAGTGGAAGGGAAGGGGACCGGAATCGAAGGCGGAAGGGGTGGTTCGGACGGAGCCTTTGCCGGAGTGCTCGGAGTCGTTTCGACCGGTTCGGAGAAACGGACGTCCTTCTTCTTCTGAGATGAAGCGTACTTTTTCGCTACGTCGGGCATCCGCTGCATGAGAACCTGCAAGAAGATCTCCTCTTTCTCTTCTTCCTCCAAATCAAACGGGCTCGGAAGCTCTTCGATGAACGCCCGAGACTCGGACTCGTCGGCCTCCATATAGTGGTAGGTGCTAACCTCGACCATATTCGCGGACGCTACTCCGGAACTTGTGGCTGCAGGAGTGACGATCGGGTGAGGAGGGGCGTCGCGATCCTGAGGTCTATTGTTGGCCCTCATCCAGTTGTCGATCTGCTCTTTGAACAAGTCTCCGGGGAAGGAACGATTGATAGTCTCTCTGGTCGGGAGCACCATCCATCGGCCTTCTTCGTTCCGACCGATCCATCCGCTCCGTTCGTATCGGGCAGCATCCGGACACGAGCCCATCGTGTGGTAGATGGAATGACAGAAGTGACACTTCCGGGGAGGTCTCGGATCAGTCCCTTGTGGTGCAGGAGGGGGAGGAGGACGTGATTGCTGATTCTGGGAAGATGGGGGTGGCTGAGGCGGATACTGATAGTTTTGTTGGGGAGGGACGGGTTGATAAGCGTATGCTTGAGCTGTCGGAGGCGGGGGATACGGATAGAATGAGTTCGGATTATACGGATATTGCGGAGGAGCAGGAGGATACTGCGGATGCGTTTGCTGAATGGTCATGAACTGCTGCATCATAGCTTGCAGGGCACAGATGTCAGCGGATTCGGTTTTGACCGTAACCGGAGCCGTCGGACTCACTGTCGGAGATGTCGAAGACGTTGTGAGAGTCGCCGGAGTCGACGTTCCGAGGATGAAGTTCGCTTCCGTATAGATCTCCGTGATCGTGTAAGGATCGTCCGGATGATGCTGCATGTGGACCATCGCTAATCTGTCCTTGATTTTCTGACGAGTGATCGGATCGAATCCTGCGAGATAGTCTCGTCCGACGTCCTGGGTGGAGACGCTATTTTTGGAGAGAAGCCAATTGGCCGGAACGAGGAACTTTCGGTGATAGACTCCGAGATCGTCCTTCGTGAGCATCGGGGTCTGGGACTGGAGAGCAGCAATAGTGGACAGATCTGACGGACGCCATCGTCGTTCGTTATCCGATCCGGGGTAGAGCTTCCCGATACATGTTTTGAAAGCATCCCAGTCGTCTCCGTCGGCTGCATCGCCACTGCTGCGCCAGATCTCCCAGTCGGAGTCGTCGAGATATCCGATTGTAGCTCGGATGAGATCCCGGCCTTCGACCTGAGCACGGGCAGCGAGGTACTCCACTTCCGAGAAGAAGCGATGGAGTCCTTCGGGCTTTCCGTTGAATTTCGGAGCGGTATGGTGACCGCGGACGGGCATAGTTGTGGCCATTGTAGGAGGAGGAATAGGGGAAGGTGAAGAAGTGGCCGGAAGATTTTCGGACGACTCGGTGAGCGATGAGGGTGTTCCGGACGTAGTGTCGTTTGACTCTGGAGTGGGTCGGTGGTAAGCCGCGGCGGGATTATAGAACAGACTGTGCCGGAGGGATGGAGGATTAGGGCGTGATAGGATGTTCGGATGCTCGGATTCTGGGCGTCCGGTAAGTGCGAACTGCCAAATGACGGTGTTGGGATCGGGAACCCAAGAGCGGACTATTTTGAACGGAAAATATTCGGATGTCTTCCGGAAGAGGTAGTTGATAGCCCGTTGCGTCGGACCTTCCGGAAAGATATCGTGCAGAGGATCGGGAGGGGATTCGAATTCAATGACGGGATAGGATGATTAGGTGACGGTGGAACGGGGGGGGTGTCTTGAACTTTAAACCCTCGCGGTGGGCTCCAGAATGTAGTAGTGAATGTACGCGTAGACTAGTAGTGTAGTCTAGTAAAATGCGAGGGTCCGCCTCCGGCAGGACAAGTCCGTGCGACACCCGCGTGAGTAAAGTGTGATAAGGATGAGTCCGAGAGTGAAAACGAACAACTGAGAAACTTCGGACGCTTCGGACGGCTTCGGATGCCTTCGGGCGCGCTCGGACGCGAACAGACAACTCGGCTTCGGATAGTACGACGAGGACGGCAGGAGAATGACAAGGACGGCAGGAGAAAGCAACTTCGGATCGGACTCGGGCTCGGACTCGGACAGCGGCAGACTCTGACAACGGATGAGAAGAAAGGTTCGGACGGCCTTAGAATCTGACTCGATGTGGGGGGGGGGGAACAAATCTTCTTCTTCTAACTACGAGTGCAGTAGGTTTTTGTAGCTAAGAAAACATCGGAAATGTCCGAGGCGAAAAGGCACCAGGAACAAATAATGGGACTAGTATGATCAAGTATTAGAGTCCGAGAACAAAAGAGAACGAAACATTGATCCGCAGTGTCTGATCCGTTAACACGTGTGTCCGGTACGGGTTCGTGACGTCCGAGTCATGTGCGAGCGCGTCCGAAGAGTCGGAGAGGGGTGGATAGGGGATAGGGGAAGCCGGACTGCACGGAACGAAAGGGTTCAACCCTTACAATAGGATTTCCATTCTCCCTTCGTTTGTCCACTGGCGCAGGCTCAGTCCCGATGTCTACATCGGAGGGTAACAACGCCCTAGGATATCGTCCTGCTAATTACATTCCTAATAAATGGGACTATTGTGCATACGTTACTCAACGCGATGCTCTCCTCAAGTCTCCTCGGGGATGCTCTGCACTCATGACTGGAGGACTAGTTGGCCGCATGGCTCGTGCCCTCATTCCCCCCGATTTCTTCTCAGCATTACTATCTAGCGAGGATATCAACCCCGCCTTATTTAGCCCTCTGACTTCGGCAGAGTTAGACTTGATATGCGGTGTATACTGCCAGGAAACTGGTACGCATCCGTATGAGGTGAAGAGATAATCCATACTAACGGACCACCACAGGCCAAGTTTCATCAAAAGGGGAGAAACAGGTGACGCGAAAATCCTGGTGGCCTCCCCATCACCTATGGGTTAAGCAACAGTTTGGCCTTGCTCAGTGGACGAACGATGCCGAAGCTTGGTACCAACGCCGTCATGAAAAACTCAGTTCGGGCAACTTCAAAGCTGCAGACCTTATGAACGGTCCCTCTTGGAGGAGTGCCTTACGTCACACTCCGGTGGCAAAGAAGCTTATATCTCAAATGGAAGGGCTGGCGGCAGCGTACATACGAAGTAGGATGGTTTTGTAGTTAGAATAGTGAACTCTAACTATCTGGGCTTTAAATCTCTACAATCTGGGTTCAAACTCTCAAATCTGTACTTGCTGAGTTTCAAGGCTTCGCCGGACAATCAACTTTAAACCTGCAACACGACCGTCGCGTTGCCAAATTAATGCTAATATCTAAAGCCGCCCGCCTGTCGAGACCATCCTCCGAAAGTGTGTCAACGCTTCGGAGTACTTCTATATAGGCGTTGTCGTGACTCTCCTATGGAGTTAGAGAGACGTGAAAGGTCTGCCCGGATTTTTACGTTTGGATTTCGACGATAATAAGAAGATTGCCTGTCCTTTAGGAAAACATATGTTCTTTGTCGATGTCATAGCCATTGCCTGCAATGGGATTCCGTATCTCAGTCTTTCGTTGGTGACGGAAAACTTGTAACGCGCTGGACAATGGACAATCACCGGAAAGATGACAGACTTTCCCGGATATCGATTGGCCATGGCACGAGAACCTCGCAGCTGCTGCCTGGTGCCGCGACGACTGCGCCCACCAGTGACCAATTGCAAGGACCTGACGTTGGATGGCAACAATTGGTTGAGCAAGAACTGGCCCTCTTCAATCTCCTCCCCTCGTCTTCTCCACTCCATCCATTGAAATTCATCAATAATCCTTCGACTTCCGGTGAATACAGGGAGCCGATGGACCCCTGCAACATCAATGCTGGAGTTCATTCACTTGACACAAAAAGTCGCGCCAATGCAGCATTTCTCACCACTGAGCTATGCCTTGTGTATTTGCTTACAAAGGCGGCCCAACTCACATACCCTCACGACGCGCAGCTACTACCCCAGCTGCGTTCTCAATGGGACCGCTTGAACCGTGATAAAGAACTCCACTGGTTAAATCAACGAAAGATAGAGGACAAATCTTATGTCAACACAGGTACCTGTACTCGAACTCGTCTAAGTCTTTTCGTGACTGATGTCATCCGTAGATATATACTTCCACTCTCTCGTCAAACGCGAGCCCATAGCTACCCAAGTTGCCTATGTCACAACGGCGATAATGCAGCACTTCTATTTTGTATCGAGGCGGGCGCTGCGACTGCAGCTATCTGGACTTCATGACCTGATGGGCGGCAATACAGCCATCCCAACCGAGATCGCAGAACTTATTTCGGGGGACCCGCGGACGGCAACCTCACATTTGCACATTGACCCCGTACTGCGGACATTCATATGCTGCACTTCTTGCCATTCGATCTATCCGTACAATCCCAACGAACCTTCAAACCCTCCTCGATGCCTAGGGAAGCGTGCGCCCGAGTCCTCCCCATGTGCCGCGGAATTATGGAAGGAGACAATCGTGGGAGGTCGACAGCGCATTGTACCGCATGTACTATACCAGCACCAAGACTTTAAACATTGGTTAGCAAGGATTTTGGCTCGCAAAGGTATCGACGACCTGTTGGATACCTACCCATCCGAGCTTCGCTCTGGACATCAACCGATATCGGATATATGGTTAGCAAATATTTTCTCCCAACTGAAAGGTCACGACGGAAATCCGTTCAGTGGCCCCGGCCGCCTCGTTTTCGGCTTGTCTGCAGATAGCTTCGAACCAAACGCCTCGCGACCTGGCCACACACCCCAGTCCTCAACTGGGATTTGGCTCGTCTGTTACAATCTCCCCCCATACCTGAGATACCTCCCTGAGAATGTTTACCTCGCAGGTGTCATCCCTGGCCCTAAGAAGCCCTCGCTCGACGAGATAAACCCATATATCCAGTTGATTGTTGATGACTTCCTGCAATTTTGGGAGTCTGGAGTGTTCTTCTTGCGCACTCATGGTTCCGCGAGTGGGCGAACCTACTTCGCAGCACTTATTCCGCTAGTATGTGACATGCTTGGAGCTCGTCAAGTCGCTGGTAAACCCGCACCCAGCGCTCATAACACATGCACTGTTTGTGATATCGATATCGACGACATCGATCTTTTGGATCCGCTAAAATGGCCATCAAAGTCGGGTCAGCATCTACGAGACGCAGCCAAAGCATGGCGAGACGCACCATCAGAGCGCCACAAAAAGATGCTCTTCGAAGCTTTTGGGCAGCGCTGATCTCCTCTCTTTGACCTACCCTATTGGGATCCTGTCAAATTTATCGTCATCGACAGCATGCACGCCTTGGATATCAATCTACTCAAGAATCACCTCCGTTATATGTTTCAAATTGATACGTCCAATCCAGGAGGGAATGCCACCCCGATCGTCCCGAGTGTGCGCGACAAAATGGCGCTAAGCAAACGCCTTACAAAGACCTTGACAGACTGCAAAAAGCTGGTCGCAAGTAAACCACCAAACTTATTGTTCAAGCTATTAGAGCTGCATAGGAAGGTACTGTATGTGTTCTGTATGGAGATGGGTATTGTAGGCGCGAACGGCGAAGTGCTTGGAACACGATGGGTCCTAGCACAAGGCATTCACCGCTGGGTAAGGAATTATAACCGAATGCTCACCTGCGAATACCAACTTCTGACTCCAGAGATCTGATGAGTCGAATCTGTCCGTCCGCCAATTCATAACGAACAATTCCAATGAAAGCGGAGGGGCCGGAAGGCAAAGGCGTGGCCGTACGGCAGGAGGAGGTGAACCCGGGCCTAGTCAACCGAGGCCAAGGGCCCTTTACCTCCAAGATTCTGGTTCCGATTCTTACTATGGATCAGATGAGGATGAGGAGGACGGTGCATCAATCGGTGACAATGCACCCCCAGCACTTCCCAATGTCAATGACATTGATCTTCTCGAACCTGATCACGACCGCCAGCCGAAACCTGTCATGACCGCTATCCGCATCCTTGTAGCGTTCCTACGAGAAGAGCACCTTGATGAGGCCGAAAGGCTGGAAACCCTGCAACGCAAGATCTCGAGAATAACTGTGGGTCATCTCCAGCAGGTTTGTCGCATTATCGATATCAACCCCAACGCCGTTTCAAGAGATGGACAACAAGTAAAAATGCCCTTCGCCAACGCAATCTTAACCAAAGTAGGTGATATACTGGCTTTATATACTTCATTTTTATGTACTTATAATTATACTGCAGGCAAGCTCCGATGATCATACCCTTCAAACCCTTATTCAGCATCTTCCTGACACCAACAAGCGAGCTCCCGTCCTAGGGATCGATGTTCTGATGCATGTTTGGGAGGACATGGAGCGCACGCTGCTGCCAAGTTGGACCACCCGTGTTCCAAAGAATTGGGCGTTGGTCACGGATTTATCAGCGGATCAGACGCGGACACTATGTACTGTCCACCTCCCCATCACTCTCATACGGCTATGGCATAGGGCGGATGAACGCAGGCACGACCTACTCTCGAATTTCCTAGATCTCATTCGCGCTGTTGTTATCGCCAATATGAGGACCACTTCCCAAGAGCACATATCTGAGTACAGTCGATACACCGTCAAATATATGACGGATTCTCGTGTGTTATACCCCAACGTCGCCCTCAAGCCTGTTGATCACGCCGCCCTTCACCTAGGAACAATGCTGAACGATTTTGGTCCCGTTCATGCTCACAGTTCTCCCTATTATGAATGATACATCAATTTCCTCCATCGGGTCAATACAAATAGGAAACTAGGTGAGCTGATCATCCATCTACTTTTGGCATGTCGGATTCTCATCGTCCGTAGGTCAGACTGAGACTTCCATGATGCTTGCATCCGCCCGTAATGCCAACCTCGCCGCGCTGTTATCCGATGATGGGACACTACGAGCACATGTCCCCAGGATTGTTGAAAGTTTATCCAAAATAAGCAGCGAAGACCCACGAGTGTTCTATCGCCTACACGAATTTGACATTCCAAAGTTCAAGTTAGGGTCAAAATCCGAACCTTTGAGATTAGACGATCAATGTTACCACAAGCTCCGCTCAATGACCCCTACGCAGGAGGTGACACGAAGTGTGTTAGCCTTCGAAGAAGTTCTGTGGCGAGGTGTTCCGTACGGACGTGCAAACTCTGCCAAGTATCGAAATGGCTCTGTAATGTTCAGGTCCTCCCCATCAACACATTCTGGGACGGAAGGGGCCAGTCTCCTAGCGGGCACTATTGAAAACATCCTTCAGTCCGACTATCAAAACCCACCTGGTGCTGTGTATCTCTCTATACAGGCCTTCACGCCAATCGACTCAACAATGGATCCTTATCGTCTGCATGGATTTGTAGCGGGCTTTTTATGCGACAGAGAAGATCGACAGCATCATTTTATACCACTTTCAAATCTGGTATCGCACTGCGCGTTGACTTTCATGGAGGCTGCGCCAGGAATGAAACTTGTTCATATATTACCACTTGACCGGGTAAGAGTTTGCTATTATCACTCCCTACGCGATCATCAGACTGATAGATCATATTATAATTATAGCTCAGCCAGTCATTCAGGGAATAATCTATACGTTGACCGTTCAAAGATGTTCTCTCAGTATGGATAATTACCATGCACAAATCCGGATCTATTGAGTCGCGGACATTGCATTAAAGGAAGCTCCTACAAAATGCGGTATACTGCAGTGCTCCGTCACAATGTGTCGTTTGTTCCGTTTCATCATCCCGCTTTCTACTTGCACCTCGGGAAATTCTCCCAGCCTCCTCAAGGGTCCTATGAATGATCTGTTGCAGTAGTTGAATACTATTTTCGAATAGTGCACATGATCCATGTATCACCTCGTTGGGGAAGTACTCTAATGGAACAGGTTGGATAACCTGTACCATGACTTCTGTGTCTCTATGGGTTATTATGAAACCGCCTGATGCTGATACGGCATTAGACATTTAAAATTTCGCCCCGGTGATCGAGTTTAGAGCAATTACTCACCGACCCATTTTTTTGATCTATGAGGCCCTTCGGTGACTTCAACAACACCAGGCCAAAGAGTTTCGGTGTACGTAGAGATTTTCTCTGCATGGCTGCATTGATCCCACATCGTGTTTCCAATGCTAGCTGCGATTTTGATGTCGGATACGTCTTTTGGGGCGACCACGAACTATCTGTCACAGTTAACGTCGTGAACCCCCGCAAATATAACATCTTGATACGGACGTCAGACCATGTGAGCTGGACGGAGAGCTTTGTAACGCGAGAACGTCGGGTGAATAACCAAGGTCTAGAGGATGGTATGGGCTGGAAGTACTGGCCACTCATGATCATGTTCGACTTGCAACGCAGACAACATGTTTTTCCCTCACAATAAATAGTTGCAACTATTTAGAGGTAATTAGGCTGAGCTGCAATGTTTAGATTTCCTGATATGGGCTCTAAATTTACATTGATCATGTGACATTGCTGACTCCTCGCACGTGCTGCAGTGGAATTGGCTGGCGTCACTGCTTTTAAAACAACGTTAACGTTGTTAACGTTCATTCCCCGAGGCTCGAGAAGTACAGTGTTCAACGCTGTACTTAAGCTTGAGACTTGGACCCTCTTGGATGGTCAACTTTTACGCTCCTGTACATGCACATGTAATGTGCCTTTAAGAAATGATACTAGTTTGGCCTGGAGCAAAACCTATCTAGAAATCGGTGTGGGGTTTCCGCTGGTTCTGATCATGAAATGCTCACTTCAGTTGAAAGTTAGGCAGCAGCGAGAGAGAAAGGAATTAGCTTAGAGCTCCCGGCCTTCAGTGATTCGTTAGACTCTGCATGATTTTGCAAGTGCGAAGGATGTCGGCCCACCAAAATCAAGGGTAATCTGTGAGTCGGGACATTGCAATTGCCTTCATTCGATTGAACTGAAAGATACGTCCTAATCTAGATCTAAGGCTGATCATGATGCGTACGATGTGGCCGACGGCCGATGCGCTTTTTGGCAGGGCGGATAGTGGCTATGATTGAGTGGGCGTTGGAGCACGCAGCGGAAGCAGGCAGCAGTGGCGAGTTTGCTGAGTTGAAGGGGACACAACAAGCGTGTGGGATGACTTACTTCTGGACATCGCACGTTGGACGCTAGACACTCCAAGGGACACCATGTGAGTCTGCCCTGCGCTTGCTTAAGGACAAACACAGCTCACTCTCGTTCCCTATCATTTGCGGTCACCTCACTTAAGACTAGTACTCATTTTCGCGCAGTTGAATATCCAAAGCGATCAATGCTTTGAATGAGCGCATGAGGGTAGATCCGGAGGAACCTACACGAAAACTTGCCATCAGCCGAAGCATAGAAAAGAACCGACGCGCATATTGGCCTAGGAGAGCCCTGGTATACGACGACACGAAGGCCTGCACCCTCTGAATTGCCTCCCCCGGCCCCATCTTGCTCGTAACGAATCCAAGTCACCTACGGCATTCCCCGAGTTGGAAACGTACGGCAAATAGGACACCTTGTTACGTCCAACGAAAGAAATGATATTGTACTTGCAAGGAATGACGCATATAGCGCCTCAATTGCTCGCCTCTGTGTCAATGAATCAAGCTACTCCCGTGCCGCTTGTCCATCAGAGTCGCGAACGGCCAGCCTATGAGCGCGACGACGGTGGGTGATCAACAGGATATCGAGGAAATGGGGTTTCTGGGGAAGGTCGGGGCGGGGGAGCGTAGGGTTAATGGTATGCGGGTAGGGGTAGGATGTTCTGGGACCATAGTGGCTACGCGAGCGTCACGAACGGGTTCCGTTCGCGAGAACCCCTACGTGTGGATGACGTTCTATCGACGAGAAGATCAGCAGGATCTGGGTGGCCGGCCGCGTCGAAGTCGCCACGAACGTGTAGTGCTACGACAGATTCGATGATACAAACACAAGTGTCCTCGATGCTGGATGTGCAGGCATATTTGGCCTCGGATTTCCTATTAATAGGTGAGCGATCCTGTAATCCACGCGAAGCGGTATTCTGACAGCTACTGTATCCTACAGTGTATAACGCAGTCTCCCACTTGGATCGCAGTCTGATTACGGAGATGAAGACCCATTTCTGGGACTTTTGGTTCAGCAACGGCTCGATCAACAAGATTAACCACGCAATCCACGACGCTATGGAACGGTGATACACCGTGGCTGCTGATGCCTATCAACGAAACACGGCGATACCTTAGAGGGAATAGGCAGACGCGTCACCTTGAATGATCAGCAGAATAACATATCGTCACAGCGTACGGTGAGTGGAGCGAGTCCATGAGTGAGTAATTAGTGAAAGATTTCGGGTATCGTGCGCCCTGGTCCATGAGTGAGTAAGTGAAAAATTTGATTTGTGTGTTCACCTTTTTGTTGGTTCGCTGCGTAGGTTTTAATTGTGGGATCGTCCACGAAGCGAGGAGAGTTGGGAGTGGGATGGACGCGCAGAGGGTGTCTTCGTTTGTATTTGCGATGGCTAGTAGGTACTACAAACAATAGGTAGGTACAAATAAATGTTTTGAGCCATCAAACCTCCCTCCTCCTCACCACCACCACCAACAACGTTGCTGCAAGGTACGCCCTGCCTTTCATACGGCTTTTTTCTGCCTCCTCTAACCCACACTTGCTTACAGAATCATGTCAATCAACCAAACATACTATACGTCAGACGTTACTCACAAACTCACGATGGACGTTTACAACGCCGCGATTCTACGCTTTGGCAATTGCATCAAGAAGAGAGACACTCTCTTTATCACGTAAGGATCGCCATATGCATGCTTCAGCGACTGACGACTCTGAGTACAGAGGCGCGTCGGAATCTGCGCTACTCGAACTATCCGCGACCGTATATATATATCGCAACGGATCGTTGCGAGCTATGATAACCGTCGACGGTAACGATGACCCCGAATTCGCATGGAACGACGGCACACAACGCGGTCCCGTAGAGCTTCGCGGGCACTGCCTACCGCTCAGATTCGCCCTCTAATGCGGGATTTCATACGTACAAATCTTTTCTTGCTGTAAGACTTACATCTTGGAATACATATCGATCGATCGATCAAAAACGGCGAGTGATATTCTGAATGTATGTTAATTAATATTCAGAATATGATCTCAGTGATTAAATGAAGGAAATACTGAAGAAGATATGCTAGATATCATCAGCATATCCTCCCGGATGAAAGCTTGGAGATATTTAGATTTTAATCACCCGAGGTAGTCTGATTTTCATCTAAGATACTTCCAGGATATCCTCGGGGGGGGGGGGGGGGGGGATTCTGATTTTCCTCTTGATTTACTCACCATTTCTGCCTTCAAGTTTATTATGGCTGTATTCACAATTTTCATGCATGAGTTATTCTGATTTTATTTTAGTTGACATTCAGAGTTTACTATTCAATATTGCTGTCGGAAATACGGGGTTTAAAACTTGAATGCTATCCGCGTGTCATCACGATATCACCATCGATGATTTCGGGCAATGCCCGCAGTGAAGCACCTGCGGGCAAGGTACATCAATCCCGGACAAACAGCAACGAGAAGGTAGTCAAGAGGCTTTCTTGCACGCATCATGCTTATATTATTGTGTGTTCTAGACATATGAAATCTACGACTACATCAAACAAAAGTGTATTCCACTGTCGAAGACAATGGCAATTCAAGCAAGAAACAAACCTGAGGACTATCCTGGGGTTGTCGAACAAGGATTAGAGCTTGCGGAATTTGTATTAACAAACAGAGCACGTCAGATTCCACACCTTACCCATGTCCCCATTGATTAACCATACCTTAACAGAACAACGAGGGTCGGTGCATCTCCTGCAGCAATAGAGATATTAGCAAGGAGGTTAAGGCATTGAAAGTGTCTGCCGCCACCTTAGCCACCTCGAGGGATCACATCCCTCGTCTGAGCTGTGGATGCTTGCTGGACCTTGCATCTTTGGAGCTATGGATGGTCAAGATTACAGCCGAACTTGAGGAAATCCCCCAGCGTGGCGCTTCTAACACGAAGTCGGCTTCATTCAATTTCTCTGAAGAAAATCTAAAGATGATAGCAGGCGTCATCCAAAGTCTCACAGGATTGGGTCTGCCGGATCTACTTGCCCCAAAGGAGCAACGTCTTGCACGTACGGCAGCCTACTCGTTGCGTGAATTGGACAGGGCTTTTGGGATAAATGGAGATGAAGAGGGAGGCTTTCTTGGTTGTTATAAGCAATTGGACGCTACTGTTACAAAACTTGTTGATCGTAACAAGCTTAGAAGTATTGAGTAATGGTAGCATCTGTACAGTAGCATAATCTACTAGGTCTGCCAATGACGTGCTACACCATGATATGAACGACGAACAGCCTGATAGTGAGCAGCACGTATTCTGTCTCTACGGCGAATGGTGTTGTGAATGCCTGTGGATACCAGAGTTCTTGGATCAACAATGATGAAGCGTAATCCTCTGGGATAAGCAAGTGCTGGAGCAGGACCTGCTTCTTGTTGATCAGGAGGATAAGGAGGGGCCTGGACCTGAGCAGGCTGAGCACGCCCATTGCAACGACGGGCTGGAGAAGTCGCTGCCATTGTTGAGCGACTAGGCATTATTGTCCCGTGTTGATGGGTGCCATAGAATAACCTAGATCAGTTTCAGAAAAGCGGTTAAATAGAGTAGTTGTGAACATACCATAAAGTGTTTGGAATAGTTTCAATATAATATCCCCACTGTGCGTAAGCAAAGTTCCATTCACCTGAGGGACAGTGCTTGTCTAGCTGCATGCATGCCGAGATAGTAAGATCATCGTCAACATGGATGGGACTGACGTAGTTGCGGCAGATAAACATATTTGATCCCGTTGAACCCAATGGATCCATGCCTGAGCTAACACTGTCTCTACCAATAACCTTGGTGACAGGATAGTATATGTGTTGTGCCGCATGCGTGAGTTTGTCTGAAATCTAAATAATTAATTGTCAGGATCTCCGTTCTGAGCAAGAATAGGGAAACAGAGACATACCTCTGCATGTTTAAATAGAGTACGAATGTCGTCATGAGTATCTGCTTTGACGTCAACATAAGGACCATATCCGCTACCAGGATTTCCACCCTGAGGCAAATGTGAACCTATGGCCTTCATAGTACTGCTTCCCTTGGCAAAAGCCCGGAAGCTTGCACCACGTTTGACTGTCTTCAGCACAGAGCTTGTCTCATGATGGTCCTGCATTTCAGTCAGAGCCTCCGAGGAAAAAGCCCCGAACTTGACTGCTCCCACCTAAATCAATCAATCTCTGTGTTAGTAATTGGTATAAATTGACTTGGTTGCTTACCAGCAATGCACCGCTCACCAATAGAGTGGTATCAACAGCACAACGGGTGAAGACCTCAGGACGTGATTGCAATGCTTTGAGTCCCAGATCATTTGGATGGTAATACTTGGTGTCGTCCTTCATTCCTGGTCGGATATCCTGAAAATAAGTGAGTGGGGAACATTCTGCTAACCTTAACACTCACCTTAGGTCTTAGACGGTCATGTTCAGGAGCTTCGGTCAACACGCAACCTTGATAATTACCATCTAGCCTTTCAACCTCCACAGTACGGACACACCACTCATCCTTATCACGCCCGGAGCAGTGAGGACAAGAGTTTGTTAAAGGGAGAGTGATGCTCAATCCATCTTCCAGGGCGTCTTCAGTGGAAAGAGAGGGAGTGGGAAGATTCGAGGATGAAGGCTTGTCTTGAGCCTCAGAAGAAGGTGAGATCTTCTTACCACGTCGCCGGATCTTCTTCGTCTTTCCTAGCACCGCAGTCTTGGCAGAAGCCTTCAAACTAGGCACAGTAATGTTGCTAGCCTGAGGCGGTTCTAAAATCCTAAGAGAACGCACACTGCTTTCAACAACAAGTTGGCTTTGCTTTACCAACTTCTCTGTCTCAGCAAGGATAAGTTCCAGAGTTTCATCCAGTGGGACTTCGGACTTGATGCGGTCCAAGTCAAGGCCACGTATTCGACGATGAAGCTCCTTTACGTTGACGTCTTCAGTCTAATTAAAAGACATAGATTAACTTCTTTCAAAAGTTGTAGATTCTGACTAAAAACCTACCGCAATACCGTAAAGATCAAGGGCGGGCTGGAGCCAACGTTCCCAAGCCATGGTGAAATTCTGACCGTTGACCAAGAAGAAGATGGAGGCGGGATTGGATATTCTGGGAATTGACTTGGGATGTTCAGACATCGTTCGAAGCAATGTCAAAGGGGTACAAGTTACGCCTCCTTTCCGAAACTTTATAGAGATTATTAGCGATATATTCAATTAATTACCAGGACCTACAGTGTTAGTCGTCTTCAGATCATTAAAATCCTTTGCGATTCCTTCAATCACAGCTTTGGGCGTCCAATTGTAGAGAAGTTCCCCAAGTGTTTCCCTCCAAACGTTACGTCGGAAGGTCTCAATAACATGGGGAAACTGGATGTCCAATTGCTTGGATGGCTTGCATATGTCGATGATGACCTCAGATAGGCCTGAGGTCTGTCAAATCATCAACATCATGTTCCCCAATTTGTGACGGACTATACCTTAACTGCAGCTTGCCAGCTTGGTTGAGACCAGGTGGTTGTCGTAATCTTACGCATCTGTCGCAAAGCCTCAACGGCAGCCTGACTCTCTGAGAATCCCGGTTCCTGTGAGGACATGAATTAGGGCAATTCGGGAAAAGAATCATAGACTCACATTGGTTTCGGAGAAAAAGATGGCCAGAGATTCACTCCACTGTCTACACACCAGATATTGAGTTTCAGGGTCTTCCCTTATAGTCTTCTTCCAGTTCGCCGGCATTGTTTGCTCCCAACGGAGCTGCAGAAACTCACTTGCTGAGCCCAGACGAAGTTCCGATAAATCAATAGGTTCGACTTTGATCTCAACATCCGGTTCCTCTTCCTCTTTATCCAGCATGCCGTTATTGAACTTGGATGGAATCTAAAGGCCTTGTTAGCAGACAAAGAGTTGACTGATGAGGGAAAACTAACGGGTAATTCTAGAAAGTCTTGTTGAGCTTGATGGAGTCGTTTGCAAGCGTTCTCATCCTGACCAATGTGCCGAAGCCACATACAGTCGATGAACACCTCAATAGCTTGGGCTCCCGTGGATAACTCAATGCCCCCCGTAACGAAAGCCAGCCAATCCACTATACGTTGTACCTAAATTTTTGTTGGTCCGTATTCCCTTCAACTTTGATTTCAGCACGCACCCAGTAACTGTGACCTTCTATTTCCTGCTTTACGTTCTCCTTCCAAATAGGATACTGCTCAATCTGAGCGCTCTCGGAACCTTGCTCAAGCCTTGTTACTGCTGTGGCAAGAGGCTCTTGGGAGAGCCAAACGAATTCCACCGGATCCAATACAGGTTCCTGGGGGAAGTACAGGCTGGTGTACATGGTCATCTGAGTCTTCAAACGGTTCATTAATTTCCCTTTCCTTAAAAAAGGATGGCAGGCTTACCTTGAGGATATTGTCAATATCAACAGGGAGTTTCGGAGTATGTGGCTAATCAATCTCAATTCCCTTAAGGAACGGATGCTCCCAGTGTAGAGGCCGCCCAGGAAGAGAAGGAAAAGCAAGGTAAATAGAGTAGGGAATTCCCATTATATATATGCCCGCTCACCTGATTTTTTTTTTTTTTTTTTTTTTAACTCTGCATTTATATACCGCTACAAGTATGCTATGCTACTAAGACGCGGTGCGGGGGTAGGTACAGACATGTGACTACAGCTACAGTCCCTGCCTGGAAGCTGGAGCTCAGCCAGGCGTTGGCGGCGAGGGTGCGTTAAAAAACCCATTGGCAAAACCCTGTGGGAAAAGGCCGCTGGGAAAAAGCTACCTGCCGTACCTGTTTGTGACGAGGTTCGGGGCTGTTTGGGTGCGGGGCCAGATCAGGAGTGATACCCGGGGGCGGTCAGAAAGTTCATCTGTGGAAAAGGTAGGTCAGATAGATGTTACGCTGTTAATGACTGAAGAATTATAAGAGCATAAGGTACAGGGGGGTAGGGAAGAAAATCAGTTGGGCTTAGCTGTCATTCGAGGCAGGTGGGCAAAAGGCAGTTGACCGACTAATGAACTTGGCCACCGCCGCTATTCCCTTTTGTGTTCCTAACAAAAAGTCAACCGAAAGGCTTGATGACACCTCGCGTAGAGTGTCTCTTGCATGTTCATGTAGCGGGCAATCCACTAAAATGTGTGTTCGGGTTTGAAGCAGAGAGTCGTCGCATGGACAGGCCATGTGCAACCGTGGGACAAACCTGGAAAAGTATTCCCCAGTGAAGGCGTGACCCAGTAGGGCTTGAATGGTGTGCGAATAGGTGCGTCGATTCCCATTGAACAACCGATGGAACTTGTCAAGGCGAGTGGATGGCGGCCGTGTCAGGGACAAAGATGAGGGGGAGTTTTTCGGAGACTCCTTCCATTCTTTTACCCAACGATCGATTGCAGCTGTCTTGCTGTGCGCCTTCGCCCAGGCAAGGGTAGACCCAATGAAAGGCAATTGTGCCGCTGCTCGTTTGGCCAGTTGGTCAGCTCGTTCATTGCCCTGAATCCCCGAGTGACCAGGAGACCACAAAACGTGGATCCTTAAGTCCTGTCGGGCAGACAGCAGCTCATCTATGCTGCGGCGGAAAATGACCGAGGCGTCTTGCGAAGGATGGGGGCTAGTATCATAGGCTGCTGTAATGGCTGAGGTGTTGTCAGCATAAAGGCGGACATGGCACACTTGTGGTCGATCTTGTAGGAGCTGTTGGAGATTTCTGGCCGCATGCGCTAGGGCAAACATTTCGCCGTCAAAGTTGTCCGAGTGAGCACCAAGGCCCAGCAGGCCCTTGCCAACCTCCTTTCCTAAGTAGACAGCAGTAAAGGCAGCCCCGGTTCTAAATTCTTCACCTACCAAGTGCCGAGAGCCATCCGTGAAGATGTTCATTACCGTTGGATCTACTCTTGCTTCGCTTTCGCACTTGCAAATATTGCGGACAAGTTGTTTGCGGGTGTCTTTGTTCTGAGGAGCATAGCTAGAAAATGTTAGCCTATGACTCCATTGATTTCCTAGATGCCAGGGCGGCGTGGCGTAGGGATTGATGCGTTCATCAATGTCGAGTGTGAAATGTGCCCGGGCCGCAAGTTGTTGGAGATTTGTCTGCTTTTTTGTTCTGCTGTTTGAGCACGTAGGGCCCTGAATAGGGCCATGGTTCCAGGGCTTGGCTAGGCGGATAATGGGTTGCGCATGTCGGGGAAGCGTTCGCAAACGGA